TGGCTCAGTGTTTTCTGCATCTCTTCTTTTTCTTAACCTTCCCTGTCCAAACCTTCCCTGTGGCACATGACAAGAAAGTTAGTGGTACAGAATGAGAAGACTCCTTTGTAACTCAGTCCCCTCGTTGTGTGTTTGCCACTTTAGAAACAATTGAAGACTGGTTTCCTTCAAGCTGGAGCTAGTTAATGCACATAAAAAGCATGTGCATGTGTGTACTACATATAAATATATTTAAAAGTGTATTATAGGGAACCATTCCGCGTAGCATGGTGAATGTAGCCCAGCCTTTGATTCAAAAAACCGATGGGGAGCGAGTTGACACACAGGAGCTGAGTCCATGGATCAGTTTCCCATGGGGAATCAGGCCTGTGTCGTACCTAGGCTGCTTTGAGGCTCCCTCTTCACCAGTAACTCCTGAAGTCTTTCTGGAGAGTAAACACGAGCATACCCTCTTCCCCAATTTAACAGTTCAGCTGGGCCTTTTCCCTCCCCTAATGGGTCTTTGCATAAGACCAAGGGGTGAGGGAATGCAGGCCTGTTTTGCACAAGGTGTTTGTCTATGGGTGACTTAAATGATCATCACAATTCAAAAAATTGTATGTATCTATTGCCAGCATGGTTAAATTCCTGGGGGATGTTTCCCAACTCCCCTTTTTTGTTTGTTTAATAATGTTTTAAAGGTTTGGTGAGCTCCTTCAATGATTGCTTGACTCATAGGATAATAGGGGGTACCTGTTTTATTCTGAATTCCCCATCTTTCTAAGAAAGCCCGAGTGGTTTGTGCAATATATCCCGGGCCATTATTAGTCTTGATTTCGTGTGGACGGCCTAAGTGGCTGAAGGCCTCCAGCTCTAACATTCTCTGCTCATTCCTCAGTGAGGGGAGGGGCCTGTGGAGCACCTGAGTGAGTGTCTGCTGGGAAAGACAGGCCCTCTGCTATTTCTGTAAGTTGCAATGAGTTTGAGCAGCGAGTTAATTACCTTATTGTTCTCAGGTCCTAGGTCTAGGATTTGCAGTGTTTCAAAGACTTAGATGCTTACTCTTCCTCTTATTTCCTTTCCACTTTCACTTCCCCTGCCACACTTGGATGTGGTATCTTTTTCCTTTATTCCTTCTCCTTCACAATATTATACTTTCCTTGCCTTCACCTTCTTAATTCCTTCCTTATAGACCATCTATGACTTACTTGAACTTTCTACAACATACACAATCCACATAACATTCTGAAATAAGCATAATGTCTTTTAAAACTTAAGCCTGATTAGATGGCCAAACTTTTGACTTAAGGGGTATATTATGAAGTGAATAGGGGGACAGTGAGTAATATCTGTTTGCCAAATTATTGGAGGTTGCAACCCTCTGGGGTTAACGCCTAGAGTAGGGTGATTTGCATTCCCCAGAGTGAAGAGGTCCCTGCCCAGATACTAAGTGGGGCGAGAAGGATGTAAGGCTGAATTCATCCAACTTGCCCATTTGGACCAAAACATTTAAGAGACCACACACCTTCATGGGTTGAGAGATGCCCCCTATTCCTGTTATAGAAATGTAAACAAAATAGAAATCCCCTTCTCGAAGCCTCCCAAAGCATGAGGGCTGCTGTCCTTTACCTCAGGGATGACCTGGCTGGAATGCCCCTCGTGACGTGCTGTCTGCGTCAATTCTAAATCTGCTGCTAGGAGCTGTGTGGAGCCATGGCACCGGGGGTGGACCTGGTGGGTCGGGACTGTGCCCCGCACGAGGCGTGAAGAATGGTTGCTACCACGTGCAGGGGGAGGTGAGGGAGATGAACACCTCCTCCGTCGCTGACCGTCCTTGGCAGAGAGACCCAGCCCACCACACTGCAAGTGTGCACACGCTGGCACCCCAGCCGTGCTCACCAGGTGCGGCCTTGACTCCCATCACAGCTGGGGCAATCTACAGGAAGGGCCTGGCTGGTGTCCATAGGTCCCTTCTCGTTCTAAGCTTTCCTGATTATGAGGGCTTCTCTGCCCTGCTTTTTCCCATATTTCCAAATCTAAAGATCCTTTATCTGGGAGACATCCAGCAGCCTTCAAAGGCTGCTGAACTAGCTGAAAACATTGTTCCTGTTCCTTTTTTTTTTTTTGTGAAAAGGAAACAAAATGTTTATTTAATGCTATTCAGGCCTAATGCCTCCACTAAAATATCAAAGTCCTTTAGGGGTATACACCTACACCCACACAGCTCCCGCTTCTCCCACTGTCCCAACTCTGGGTACCGTAAATCAGGAAAAGAGCACACGTCTGTGTTGCAGGCCGCTGGCACCGTCAGCTGTGTCACCGTGCAGGCAGGATCTCTAGTTAATCCAAAGTACTGTGGTACCCTCTCATGGTCCACTGGCAAGAGTTCTTTGTACCCAGTTCCAGCCAAAGTCTCTCTTGCTTTCCAGGCCACACAGCCAAAGGGGGCACCTCAAAGCCGCGTGGGCCTCTTCTACCAAAGCTGCAGGAGTCCGCACTCCACCAAAAGCATGTGGCTTTCTTCTTCACCTGGCTGCAGGGATCTCCATTCTGGAAAAGCTGCCTGGTTTTCCCTTTCACCTGGGCAGTTCTCCCCTCATGTTCTGGAGCCCATCTTTTCCAAGCTCTCACACACGCACCCTCACTCAGGAGCACAGCCTCTAGTTCCCTTGTTCCTGTTCCTTAGACAGCCTGAACCTCATGGTAGAGGATTCATAGTAACTTTTAAAGAAAAAATTTTAACAAATAAAAGAACCTTTTCTGAAATTCCTCCTGCCTCAAGCACGGCAATTACAAAACCAGTTTGTTTTGCTTTCATTCCGTCTGCACCTTTAAATGCTACTTCTTGCTAGCAAGGAGAGTGTAGTGGGTCGAATGTGCTGTTGGTGAAAGACAGGGAGAGGGGTTTTGGGTCCTCCCCAAGCATTTAGGACTGCGAGGCGGGGTTCCAAGTGCTAGGTGACCAATCTTTATTTTGCGCATTCCGGGCGAGCCAGAAATTAGATTAAGTAGTTTGGAGGTCCCTATAAGGCCCCTGCATATCTTGGGGAATTGATCCTAGACACCCTGGAAAGGTTCCATCCAACTCACTTGGGAACGCCCAATTTCTTGGGCCGAGGGGAGGAAGTGCCTTTTGTACTTAGCACTTGGCAAATACCAAACACTCTCATACAAAACCTGTGACTAACACTAAATTCTTCTGAAAAGTGATTTTTGGAGTCTGGTCAAAACCGAAACACTCATTCACTATCTGCTTTTCCTTATGCACGTGGATGGAGGGAAAAGGCTAAATTTTAAAGGACTGCAAGAGGCAGCCTGAAAGAATCTTCTGAGATGCTTGTAAATAGCCCTGTAACTAGTTGCTGTTTTTAAAGCTAGTAAAGGGAAAGTCTTTGCTCTTTCTCCCAACCCCAGACCTAGTCGAGGATTGTGCTGTGGGGATGGACTTCTGAGTGTTTTTACAGTATGCCTCTTGTTGTGTGGACTTTTACTTGTGGCTGGCGGGAAACCTAGTATTCTGACACAGTCCCCATTCCTGCTTATCCTCTCACAGGTGTCTTTATTGTGGCCAGCGCCCTTTGGCTCTTAATTCCTCCACCCATTCCTGCAAGATTGCAGCAGATACTTGGGAGAGAGCGCAAGGCTCCTGCTTACTAAAGAGGGTGCAGATGTAAAGCGGCCGTAAGAGAGGGTAACTTTGGAAGAAATCACTTTTCCTCTGAAATCCAACATACCCTATCACCTTGCTGAAAAGCACTTGGTGTTGTCTGCCCTTACCTGGGCTAATGCGTGCACTCCAACCAAGTCGGTGCGCTTTCCACAACTGTGGCTCATAACCCTGGGTCCCTGTTCCTGGGTGCCAGATGATGTGGACCCTGGCCCTTGGGGTCCATGTGTTGTGGATGCGATGAACAAATTCACACAGACTACAGAAGTCCTGTGGAGAAAACGGGATGGCCTGGCTGCTCTCTTGAGTGAGAGAGGGCGGCGACCCCTGCCTGGACAGGCTTTTATTGCTTTTCTGGGTACATGACATCAAGGATGGTCCTCATTTATTATGTGCAGGTTCGCTGTAGGTGATTATCTTTTACAGATAACAAAGGAAAGAATGTTGCTAAATTACTTCAAAGAGAAGGATGTTGCAGATCAAGGGGAAAAGTGGTTGAACTGGTCACACTCCATACTTGGGAGGTTTAGCACAGACTTTAGGAAGCCATTTTAAAGATACAGTAAACATTTGCTGCCTCAATCCATGGTGTGGGAGTTTTAGCAAAAAAGCAAACCTCAAAGCAGCCCAGGTACAATGCAGGCCTGATTCCCTATGGGGAAACAGATCTGTGGGTTCAGCTCCTGTGTGCTAACTTGCTCCCTGTCAGTTTTCTGAATCAGGGGCTCAGCTACATTTGCCATGCTATGTGGAACAGTTCCCTGTATTATATGACACATGATTTTTTTTGTGCTATTCTGATTAGTGTTTTCTTCCTTTACTGTTGAGTACTTCCTTTCACTCTGGACTCCTCAGACCAGTGCGAGGAGCTTCCATTACAGCTTCCATTCTCCAGCATGCTGGCGACATTCCTATATTCAGATCAAAGGAGCTTGTCTCCTACTTGTAGAAGAAATGTCCTCACCACAATAACCATCATTGCATTTTTTAAAAAGTTCTGCCTGGAAGCTGGAGGACGTGTAATTAGAGAAGGGGGATCTGCGAGATAAAGCAGCCTTCATCTGAAAGAGCAAGCCACCCACTGGCTGGCTGATGCAGTAAGTGAATAAACACTCAATTACATGTACAAATTCCCAGGAAAGATAGAGCGTGCTATGTTTTTAACAGATTTAAACCTATATCCTTTCATTTTTATTTTGCTTCTCTGTGAGTGCTGTGTTGATTCTAAATAAAAGCAAGCAATTCCCTGATTTATAATTAATTCATCCATGTAACACATGTTAATGATTTTTGGACCTCAGGATTACTGGGCCTTGTTCATCTTCCTTGAGTCTCTTAAATCAGAAAGGAAAGATAAGTGATAAACATCAATTTTATTAATAATCTTGGAATATACATTAATAATTTCTTAGTTATACAGCATTTTACAGTTTTGGAAGAACTTTCACATACACCAGTTCAGCCCTCACAACATCCCTGTGAGGTAGGCAGGGTCGCTGTTACCTTCCTATTATACTAGCAAGGAGAACAAGGCTCAGAGGTGAAGTAAGGTCACACAGGTGGTAGATGATGGAGCCAGGGCTAGAACCTAGGCCTTGTGACGTGCTGCCTCCCTGAGAACATTCAAGTAATGACATCCTATGCTATAAATAATGAACATTTCTCTCCTACGATGCTGCTCAGATCTGTTTGTGTAAGTTTACCACCTTTTCCTAACATCCCCAAACACTCAAACTAGGATGAGACATTTCTTCCCTGTTACCAGATCGGTTTTCTCAGATGTATGAAGCACCATCCTAAGATGAAACTTACTTGTGTTTTAAATTTTGAGGGATTTCAAATATGAAAATTAATCTTAGACAATTCTGTAAAAGTACTCTTATGTTGAGTATGTCAAAGTTAAACAAAAACTGCACAAACCTGCTTATAGTTTTGAAAGTTTTGAAATCGTTCCCAATACGGTGTCCCAATATGGTGTTTCTGGATGGGTTTCTACTGGGGGCCCTACGTAGAGCGCACCTACTAAGGGCAATTCATATCACACTACTGAGTTGTTGTGGTAGGCCTTCTAGAGGAAGGAAAACCAGTAGGAAACTGTCAGGTATGAGCCCATCTTAAGTGCGACATCCTCAGCAATCAGCTAGAAAACTGATCTGAATTATACCAATAGGAGGAGGGTTCAAGCAGTAGTGATCAAAGCGTATCTATCTGCATATGGTAAAAAGGAAAAATAACACTTGCCCCTTAGTGGTTTTGCCCAGGTCTAGTGCAAATATACTTATCAAGGCAGATTTTAAGCAATAGCGTCACCTGTGTGAAATTTCAAAATGTGAAATATGGTGGAGTTATCTACTTGGAATATAAGACTGCAACTGAATGTAACTGACCCAAAATTACCTGTCAAAAGCAGAGTAAAGTGTAATGGGCATAGAAGACAAGGGAGAAAACTCAAGTGCTCTGGAAAAATGGAAACATTCAGGGTCAAGTGAACTGTAGAACAGCAGGCATATCAAGTAGGTTTTAAAAATATAAAAATGATGCTAAGGTGTATTATCAGGAATGGTATTTTGAAAATTCCAGTTTTGGCCTTTTAAGTGTAAGAGCAATGGGGATAAATTTAAGCTCATGGGGAGGAGATGGTGCAGGAAGTGAATGGGAGTTTGAAATCGGGTTGAGGAGGTAGGTTAGGAAAGGCCAAAAAACAACTTAAGTACATTCAAAATTGGACTTAGAATCCCTCTAAATCCATCCTCTCCAAAAAGGTGTAAATTGAGAGATTTGGTTTAAAAAGCTGATGACAATAAAAGTGACTATTTTACCTTGCCAAAGAAAGGAGTACTTCAATGCAGATTAGAAATTATGCTGTTAAAGATTAGTCCACTGATCAGGTTGCAGAGACTGAAACTTAAATGCTGTCAGTGACACATGGCAGAAAACTGTTTTCAAAAATACAACTGCCATAGCAGGACTCAACATTAGTGAAACTATTAAGAAATAAGTGCTGAACTTTTTCTACTTGAAGCCCAATGGGGGGAAAAAAAACATTGGTAGCCTTACTTAAGAAATCTAACGGTTTGCAGGAATATGAAAAATATTGCAGCTATCTTAAGTTTTCTAAGATAAAACTTGAGATCTAGAATGTTCTAGTTCAGTATATTGGGCTCAAAACCAACTACACATCTGAAGTACATCTAGACTGTAATCCTTACATAGTATCATTATCATCATCTTCATGTTTTCTCTTCAATGGGTTTGATTCATTGGCCGCGTTCTGTGATGAAACCATGTTGGTGGTAATAAGAATATTTTTGGGCCCAATCATTGAAGGATTAATCAGAACATTTGGAACTGCGGTTGTTGCAGGAACTGTGAACAGAGGAGAAATACCCCCAAGGTATGAATGACCCAGGATCAGAAATATATGGTAAACATTATTCAACAGAGCTGACCATAATTACTAATTTCAAGAGCACGAAGTGCAACTACATCACAGAAGAAATTCGTGTACTATGCTCCATTAAAAGTTGAATTAAGTTTTTAAATACTCAAATTAGTATCTAGTATAAGGTTAAAGGAGTTCTGTTAGGTATTTTAACTTAACTACCTAAAATTTTACTTAGTACTTGGTCATGGGAAGCTGCACACTGGATTCACGGTGCACGCTGAAGGCACACTTATGTTCAGGTAAGGAGTCCCGCTTCCCCTACATGCCAGTATTTTATACAAGCAGTTTACCGTGTGTGTTTCTGTTTCAGATGCGAACCTAAACACACGGTCCCAAGTGCTTTTCCCTGAAGATGCCTTAGATTTGTGGGCCATAACTTGGTTTCATTCAGTATTTTTTTGAGAATCTGATGATCACACTATATACTCTCCCTCCCCCCAAATAGCATGTATATTTAAATTTTGATGCAATTTAAGTGGGCTCATAGACCATCCCCCAAAGATTTGCAGCATTACTGCCACCTTCCTGGAATGATATTAAAACAATTTAACTCTTGCTACAGGAATCTAAACTGTTCTATAATCACACATTACTCAGAGATTTTAGAACTCAGAAAAGGTATTTTAAAAGAAGCACTTGAACCACTTACACCACACCCCCACCCCGTATATGACGTTACCTGGTTTGACAGGTGTGGGATGAGAAGGTGGAATCTGCACCGTAAATCTTTGGCTTGTCACTGACACGGGAGGTGCAACTTTATTTGGGACAGACACTGTTTGTGGGGTTGCTGTAGTTATAATTAACAGACCGTATTAGTTAGGTGCCTGATTATACAGGTTCATATTCTACCCTCCTTAGCTTACCAGAAACTACCTTCAAAGCACAGGACACTCATAAAAGGTGAGAAAAAAAACATTAGAAATATAAGAGTGAAGTAGCTTTAGAAGTGTTTCTAAGCTTTTAGATGCTAAAAGTTTAGGACAATGTACTAGTAAAGAATGTAGGCTGCCCCTGGCTGCGTGGCTCAGCTGGTTGGAGTGTCATCCTGGGCACCAAAAAAAAAAAGTTTGTGGATTTGAACCCCAGTCAGAGCATGTGTGAGAGGCAACTGATGGATGTTTCTCACTAAAAAAAAGAAAAAAGAAAAAAATATAGGCTCTGAAGCCTACCTGCTTATGTTTGAAATCAGGCTTTTATCCCCTACTAGCTGAGTGTCCTTGGGCCAGTTATTTAATCTTTTTGTACCTCTGTTTTCTCATCTGTCAAATGGGGACAACAGTACCTATTTCACAGGATTCTTGTGAGAATTAAACAAAAGAAATCCATCCATGTAAAGCTCTTCAAACAGCTGCTGGCACTGAATTTTAGTGACAGGAAGTCATAAAGGTCAGAACATAAAGTTCATTCATAAAGAATGAAGACCCAAGTTTTCTATCAGTTATGCTACGTGGCACTTTTAATCTTGGTCACTTGCTGAGAATTAGATGATGTCCACTATGCCTGTGAAACTAAATCAACATGCATCTAACAAGAGTATCAAATACAGCCATTGGGGGTCCCCAGGTGGGTATAACAATGTTCTTTTTCTATATCTAGTTGTTTTTTTTTTTCAGTAGAAAGGGATCCTGGAGATAAAAATAATCCAAGCTCCCCCTCATTTTAATTCTACCCTTTATTCCAAGGTAAAATTCAAATACTACCCCCGTTTTATAAACTTTTTGACTTATTCATAAGTCGTTGCCTGCCTCTGAAATTCCCTTAATCCGATGTAGGAGCCTTATTAGTGTCTTATATTGTTTACTAAATTATAAGCCTTAGCTAATGGATTTTATTCTTGAGAGCATGTGGCTTTTGTGCCTTGCTTGTAACAGGCACTCAAGCAACATTTGATTAATGAATGAATTTTTCAAGACTCAGCATGTACACCGACGACATCACAGCTTCCTCAAAAAAAATGCATTTGCGGAAAACATGTATGTTCCTAGTTTTTCCTTTGGGGATGCACACTTTCCACACATCCCTTCTCCCTGGAACCAGAAGTCTGCCCACAGATGGAGTTACTGGGGAAAAAAAACACACCTAAAACTATCACTGAAAAAACCCTACAACTCTTCCCCTCACCAGGTACAAAGGAGAAGAAAGCCCAACCGGAAGGAAGCCCAAAGGTCCCCAGGAATCGTGGGCTCCAGTGCTTTCTTTCCCAAACCCAGGAAGTGAGACTTTAATGTAGCTCCATCCCTAGGCAAGTGTTCTCATGTATTTGCTCCAAAGAATCTGGTGAAGCTTAATGAAGCAATCACTGTAAGTATTTTATTTGGTCAAGGAAATTCACAGTAGGTAGTTGTTTTCCTGGCCATTACTTATAAGGAATTGGTAACATTTAGGTAAGTATGGAATGGAAGCTTTAAAATTCAACAGGGTGGATGCTTAAGTCTTATGCATTATAAAACTCACTGAAAAAAATTTTAAGTTAAAAACTGCACCTTTAACAGTTTTTGGCAGCTCCCTCAACTGTGGATTTAAGAATATCTAACTAGGTTTTGAGGAACAAGTATGAAAGACACAGGGATGAAGACTGGGGGGGGGGGAAATGGGAGAGAGGGGGGAGGGGGTGGGGTGGGGTGGGAGAAATAGATAAAAAAAATGTACTTGAAAAGTACCTAAATAAAATTTAATTAAAAAAAAAAAGAATATCTAACTAGGAATACACTACTAATTTCAGCAAAAAGCCTGAGAAGTGCTCTAACTGGGAATAAAAATGACAACTGACACCTACAATTGGTTACTTTGTCAACATGTGTGTACATGAGGACCACAGCCTGGACTTTAAAAGAACTGGTATTCACTTAATATGAATCCACAGATAAACAGTTTATGACCACAAAGTTACACAAATTATACATGCAAATTTGTTCACAAAGGTCACATGCAGGCCTAGAAGTGTGTAAGTGATACCATACCAGGCTGGTCTGAAAATGTAAATTCATGTCCTGAGAATATGAAGAGATTCCCTAATATGCCTGAAAGACCAAATGTGGCTTGCACTACAGCTACATGAAATCTACAGGACACGGTTATAAGCAGTAAGAGCCAAAAAAACAATGGTGATCAAAGAGAAGGAAACTGTTTTCTAAAAACATTTTGTGAAAAAAATCCAGCAAGAATTTAGGACAAAAAAATCAAATCAGGAACTCTAAGTCCATTATTTATATTTTTCTTATTACCTAAACAATGACATTAAAAAGATAGAAATAACGGTTTCTAAACACTGTTTTCCACGGAAAAGATTCAGAGCTCTGTGGAGAAATGGCTGATTCTAGGACTGAGATTAAAAATCAAGATTAGCTTGGAACACCTTGTGCCAGAAAGCAAGAAATGGTCACAGAATGACGGAGACAGGTGAGCAGAGATGAAGAGGTAATACAGGACAATCAATACTACTTTTGAAAACGTTAGTATTATAAACACAATGATTTTTTCCTTTGATATCCTTCAGCTTCTTGTACATACTGAACTTCCTTTTGACTGCATTGTCTTGCCAATGTATTCCAAAATTTCTTTAATTTCTGGTAACTTGGCTACTGCCATCAGTGTGTTTGGCAATGTCATTTTTTTTTGAAAACATAACTTAAACTCCTGTTTCTGGCATCGCAGTTTATACCAATGAGGAGGTTGGGTAATGTCCAAATTTATCCTCAATTGGGATCAGATCCTCTTTGTGGCTTTCGCATTTTGAAGTCTGGTAGAATATACGTCTACAGTTTTACTAGAGGACGAGGAAACATAATGATGGCAACGTACATGTGGGCATTTCTGACTCACCTTTCCACTTGGATTATAGCTCAAAAGCAAGTGCTGAGGCACTTCTTCTTTACCTGCCAGAAAAGGTGTTTCCCTTTCTCACTTACCTATGGTAGGGGTGGTAGGTCTGCTAGTAATAGCACCGACACTTAACCGTGGAATTAGTCTTCCCTGGTTAGGTCCCTAAGGGATTTAACAAACACATTCGTTTTAATGTTCAGATTTGACACCTCAACTTACCAGGAATGAAATCAGGATTGTTGCTATGAATTCTTCAAGTATAATGCATGGCAAGAATGTCCTGTTTTTTTTTTTTTTCCTTCCAGTGTTCTAAATTGGACATTAAAACTAGGGTTTTCAGAAGTAGATATGAGTCTATATGTATTTACATATATATAATTTTATATTGTATTTTGTTTAAGGTAGAGTGGGTTTTTTTTAGGGTAACAACTAAATTCCTTATAATTTTAAATCTTAACTAATCAACATCTTAAGCCCCTCAAATAAATACTCTCCTATAGTGGAATTTCAGACATCAAATGCAGCCCCGTGTGAGAACTTTCTCAGTGGTGGAGGAACCTTAGGTCATGTTTCTGAAAACAAGTCCAATTCCTGACAGTGTATCATTTAGTCTGTTATCAGGCTTTGCTACAAAATCTACAGTACAGTGGAAAGATTGGTAGTTATGCGACCTGAGAATCCATCCTAGCTTTAGTACTAACTCAATGGTAAGTTTAAGGTCAGTTCCCTGATGTGAAAAGTAAGTGTTGTGTTAGATGAACACTGAGATTTCTTTTAGCTCTAAACATCATATATTTTATATTTTAATACAGCAACTAAAATACATAGTATTTTCAAAGCAGTAATTGTGTTTTTTGAAAGATTCAGTTTATTTTTAGAGATGAAAAGGGATGGGGAAAGAGAGGGAGAGAAACAATGATGTGCAAGAGAAACATGGATTGGCTGGGGGCCTGGCCTGCAACCCGGGCACGTGCCCCGCCTGGGAATGAAAGCAGCGACCTTTGGGTTCGCAGGCCAATGCTCCCCCCACACCAGCCAGGGCCAAAGCAGTCAACTTTCAAAAATTCCAGTAAATTCACTTTTAATCAATCTATGTACAGATACTTACTTTTTACAAGTGGCCCTAACACATTGCCAGTTTTTAAAAAAGCTCAATTGACCAAAAAAAAGTTTACCTTTTTAAGTAAGGGCTTCAGCTTATAGTTTGGAGCTGTTAAGCAGTATCTGTCAGGTGGCAGTCTGGGTCCAGAATATGGCTTAATCATAGGTAAGGGGGTTTGGTTTTTCTGCCTCGCAATATCCAGTAGAAACTAAAAACAAAACATCGTTATTAGACCTAGAATGCAGAAGTGATAAGTAAAGTGAACTTTAAATAAAAGTTTGCTCACATCTCTCGGAGGAGGAGAGGTAAAAGATTGATCGGCACGACACTGGATTGCCAGTCTCACATCATCTGCATCAACATTAGGTTTCTTAGCATGACTTGAATAAATTTTTGCATCATCCAGAATTGTAGTCACATATCCTTGAAGAACAAAACATTATTTTCTTACAGATATGATAATATCTTAACATTTATGGCTACTTTTCTTAATAGAAGAGTCCATTAATTTCTAGAAAGTTTATGCATTTTGGTTTCAGTATCTAGTTGTCCTATGCGTATGATCAATTCTTTTTTTTTAATTTATTTTTCAAGTAACATCAATGTGTGGTTGCCTCTTACGAGTCCCCTGCTGGGAACTGGCGTGCAACCCAGGCATGTGCCCTGACTGGGAATCGAACCATGATCGTGCGGTTCGCAGGCCCGCGCTCAATCCACTAAGCTATGCCAGCCAGGGATCAATTCTTAAAAATATGTCACAGTATAAATACTGTCTTCCCCTATTTGAGCTCTTTTTTTACTACTTGAGGCTGAATTTGGTGACTCTGTTAAAGTAAGGTAGTTGAAAATGTTCTTGGACTAAAGGAATCTTCTCAAATTCACAAGTTAGGCAGACTTTTTTGGTGTTTTGTTAACTTACGGAACGCAAATTCCAACATTTGGTTTATAACCCTTGGTTCGTACTCTGTAATTCCCATATCCTTCAGGATCTGTGCCATTACCTGTGGATTGAAATAAGAAACGCCAGCTGTGTAATCTGGGAATTAGAAATCCAGACTGGACCCAAGATAGTATCTATACTCATGATACAAGGTCCCCCTTCCCCGGGCCACCAAGGTTTAGTTATTCTTACTGTCCCCCGTGAGTGTGAGGAACACACTAAATGCCGTCGTACCCTCTTTGCTGAAAACTTTTTTTTTTTTTTTTGCCGGGGGGTGGGGGTGGGAGCGAAGAGAGAAGAAAAAGGCGGGGATCGGTTTTCCCGGCAGAGGTAGGGGTGGCTACAGCTGGTTGTCACTCAGGCATGTGCTGCGGGGACTGAGCATCAGAACCGCGGACTCGAGAGTCGGGGTTCGCAGACACGACGAGGCTGCCGGGACCGAGGTCGCGCCGACAGAGCCGGCCCGCTGGCCTGCGCAGTTCGGGCGGTTCTGGCGGGAGAGCGCCCCGCAGCCAGATACCCGCATCCCGCCCGGCTCCGGCAGAAGCCGGCGCGCGAGACCCTGCCGCTCTGGCGGTCAGCCCGGGGCCTGCCTGCCCCGGCTCCTGACGCGCCGAGCTTCCCGTCCGCCTGTCACCGTCGGAACTTACCAAGGCATCTCTCGGAGAGTTCTTGGGGAGCGCCATCTTGCCCGGCTCCATGTTGTCCTGCCACTCGCTGTCTGCGGAGCGAGACGGATGCGGGCACGGGCTGCTGGCTCTGGCTCCGCCCCTGCGGGGCCCAGTGGGCGGGGGGACCGCCGGGCCCCGCCCCGCCCCACCCGCAGCCTCGCCCGGGTCGCCACGCCTCCCCGCGGCGCGCGATGGGGACACCGTGGGCTCAGAAGGTGCGGGTCAAACTTCCTCGCGGAGCCCAAGGTTAGCCCTTGGAAGATCCGAGAGTTTCCTCTTTCCAAAGCTGGTCTCCGTGAAAGTGCACTGAAAGGGCCACTCTTGCCTTTTCTGGGGCCTCCCTCACCCTTCCAGCTGCTGCCACTCTGACCCCTTCCTTTTGCCTGGAATCCCTGCAGGGGCCTTGCATCCACCTGCCGCTGTGCTACGTTTGCCTGGTGTAGAGCAGAACACCAGTTAAATTTGAATATCTCAGATCAACAGTATTTCTAGCATAAATCCAAATACTTTGCTACAAAATTATTTACTGTTGATGAGACATTGCCATTTCACAGGGCGTTCTCTGTTTTTATTGGCTAAATCCGGCAACTCTGTAACATATTCTCTGCACAACAGGCCTTTGATCGGCTGTGGTGACACTGAAAGCCCTGTTATGGTCGTCCATTTTACACAGCTGAAAAGATAAAGCCTTTCACCAATGACAGACCTAGGCAGGCCCAGCAGTAATGGAAAGTCGCCAGGTGGGAAAACTGTACCGTGGGAAACGGTAGCCTGGGAACATGCCTGCCAATCCTACCCAGGACAAACAAATGCCCGGCTAAGACTGGGGTCTGGGGTCGCCCTACCCGGCATAACAGGATGCAGCTTTAACTTGAGTCTGACAAGATGTATCGAGGACAATGGTCAGCAGAAAGGGCACCCAGCAACCGGCTCTAGCCAATGAAGACTCTGACCTCCCAACCAGTTGTTACCCTTCGCGGGGGTTTTGCGCTTAAAATCCCTGCCCTAAGAGCAACCGAGTGAGTCTTTAACCTCTTTTGGTTGGTTCCCCAACCTCCCTTGGGTGGCTCCACTTTCTCCACTTTCCTCCAGGAGTCCAAACTTCCCTTGGTTGGCTTCACTTTTCCCTCTTATTCCCCGCTAATAAACCCTGCTCCTTAGCTCACTCTGTCCCTTTGGTTTCTTTAGCGACTCCAACGTAACAACCACACCACGACCAGGATTCCCCACCGGAGCCCCCAGTCTTGCGGCTTGGTTCGGATCAGTTTTCTATGTCTCTTATTTGCCTTCCAAATGCCTGCCCTTCCACACTCTTTACAGAGCAGCATCAGCGACTTAGAAAAACGTACATCAGTAAACTTTGTCTGACTTAAAAGTGTTCCAAAGACAACCCTCGCTTACTCCACAGTCAACCAATGCCCTAGAGTTCTCCATCCCAGGAAAATGTACTGTGACCCAGCACTCAGCCATGCTGTGCTCTTCCCCTCCCCCCCTCCAGCATAATCCACACTCAGTAAATGTTCCCCCAAATTGCTCCATCAAGTCAAGCTGTACCACAACAAATTGCTCCATTGAATTAACACAGCTGAGCCCTGCCAGCACTATGGCAGTTATTAATAAGTAGTGATAAAACAGTGATTCACATCCTCTGCCTAATTTTTAAAAAGATTTTATTATTTTTAGAGAGAGGGGAAGTGAGGGAGAGAGAGAGAGAAACATCGGTGTGTGGCTGACTCTGACTGTGGCCCTCATTGGGGCCCAGCCCACAACCCAGGCACATGTCCTGACTGGGAATTGAACTGGTGACCATTTGGTTCACAGCCCACACTCAATCCACCAAGCTACACTAGCCAGGGCCTCTGCCTATTTTTAATTGGATTATTTGTGTTCAGTTGTATTATTTCTTTATATATGTTCTATATTAAACCCTCGGAGCTGTTTTTTGCAAATGTCTTCTCCCATTTGATTAGTTGCCTGTTTGTTTTCTTCATGGTTTCTTTTGCTGTGCAGAAGCTTTTTTAGTTTGATGTAGTTCTATTCATTTCATGTTTTCTTTACTGCCCTTGTCTTTGGGGTCAGATTCATGAAATGTTCTCTAACACCAGCGTCCATAAGTTTAGTGCCTATGTTTTCTCCTATGGAATTTATTGTTTCAGGTCAGGTCTTGGACTGATGCATTTAATCTATTTTGTATTATTTTTTCTATTGGGTTGGCCAAAAAGTCTATTACATGTTTTCTGTATGATGTCTCTAGTGGCACTTAGTTGTCTTTAACTTCATTAAAAACAATTTTATTATATTATATTGTGGCAGCTGTCATATCAGCGTGCATTAAAAAAACATCGAAGTTGGTGAAGGTTCGTACAGCCATTGTAGTACTGAAGATGGAAGAAAATACCCAAATCTTTTGGCATATTATGCTTTATTATAACAAGAAAGGTGAAAACACAACTGAAATGCAAAAGAAGATTTGTGCAGTGTGTGGAGAAGGTGCTGTGACTGATCAAACATGTCAAAAGTGGTTTGCCATGTTTCTTGCTACTGTTGACATTTTGGCCAAATAATCCTTCACTGTGGGGCTGTCTTGTGCATTGGAAGATGTTTAGCAGCACCCTGGCCTCTGCCCACTGGAAGCCAATAGCAGAAGATAGCCAATACACTCAAAATATCCAAATCAATAGAGTTACTGGTGAAAATGAAAAATGTGGTTTTTATTTTATAGACAAAACATACAAGACTTTTTGGCCAACCCAACATATGAGGACAAATAGCAGTAGTTTCATTCATTCTGCATGTGGCTTCCCAATTTTCCTAGCACCATTTACTTAAGAGAATTTCCTTTCTCCATTATATGTTTCTGGCTCCTTTGTCAAAAATTATTTGCTCATATACATGTGGATTTATGTCTTGGCTCTCAGTTCTCTTATATTGATCTGTGTTTCTGTTTTTCTGCCAATACCATGCTGTTTTGATGATTGTTACTTTGTAGTATAATTAAAAGGTACAGAGTGTGATAACTCCTGCTTTGTTCTTTTTTCTCAGGATTGCTTTGGGTATTTGGAGTCTTTTGTGGTTCCATACAAATCTGCTAATTTTTTGTTCTATTTCTTTTAAAAATGACATTGCAATTTTAATGGGGATTGCATTAAGTCTGTAAATTGCTTTGCGTAGTAGGGCCATTTTAACTATGTTGAGTCTTCCAATCCATGAACATGGAATATCTTTTCATTTCATTGTGTGTTTTCAATCTTTTTAAATAATGCTTTCTAGTTTTCAGTATATAGGTCCTTCACATCCTTTGTTTAGTTTATTCCTAGGTATTTCATTTTGTTTGCCATTGCAAAAGAAATTGTTTTTTTCATTTATTTTTTCTGAAATTTCGTTGTTAATATATTGTAATGCAGTGGATTTTGTACATTGGAATTCTCTGGGCTTCATGGATCTGCTTCTCTGTTTCTTTCCCCATTTTAGGGATATTTTCTACCATTGTTTCTTTGAATAATCTTTCCGCCTTTTTCTCTTTCTTCTCCTCCAGGGAACATATAATGCAAATATTCCTTTCATTGATGTTATCCCATAAGTCCTCTGTGCTGTCTTCACTTTTTTCCATTGTTTCTCTTTTTGCTCTTCTGATTGGATGAGTTCCATTGCCCTGTTTCAACTTTGCTGAGCATTTTTTTCATTTCATCTTACCTACTGTTCAATGCTCTATTGAATTTTTTGTTCCATTATTATATTCTTCACCTATATGATTTCTGTTTGGTGTTTTTAATTTTTTTCTGCATTGAATTTCTCACTTGTTTCGTACATTGTTCTGTTGCTGTTGATGAGCATCTTCATGACAATTATTTTGAACTCTTTATCACGTAAAAGACTTCTCTTCACATTTCATGCAGGACTTCACATTTCAGGCAGGTTTATATTGTTCTTTTTGGACCATATTCCTCGATTTCTTTCTTTTCCCTGACTCTCTGTGCTGTTTTCTGTGCATTAAGGAAATCAGCCACCTCGCTGGGTCTTCAAGGGATGTCCTCAAATAGGTGATAAACCTTACTGTTCAGCCTGGCCCCAGCTTCTTGCTTTCTTTCTAGCCTTAGTGACTGAGCAAGACACCTTCTTTGTTATTAGTGCTTTTCAGTAGCTGAGGTGAGCCAAGACCTGTCAGTGTCCCAAAGACTAAGATTTCAGTGAGCACCTACATTGGGGCTGATTGAAAGTTGAATCTCAGGCTTCAGTTTTTAACATACGCGAATCAGCGTCTTTCATGGAAAGACCACGTGAGGGGAATTTATGGCAGCTGCCTGTGAGCTGAGCCCTGACGGCATAGCCAGATAAAATCTGTTTCTTTGTTTGCTGTGGTATTATGGGAATGCCAGCTCCTCTGGCCACAAGAGCCAGAAAATCCAGTGTTGTGTCACCTGCAAATGCTGAGATGCCAGACATGCTCACAAGCTGTTTTCAGGGAAGTGCTGGTGACCTGTAGTGGGCTGGAGGAAGATTGTATTTGGCCCTTAGATGTGAGCTAAATAAGGACCTTGACCCTCAGGGTATAGGATTAAAACTATGCAACTAGGCCTCCTTGGAGGAAAGACTAAGAAGTGGGTATTTCCCTGTGCTGAGCTTTGAGGAACTAGCCACTGAGAATCCTCACGAGCCCATTAAGAACTGTTTCTTTGTTTATTATAGACTTGTGTGTTTCCTGAATCAATGCCCCATTGGCTTTCAGAGTTAGTTGTTTTGGCTGCTCATCCCTTGGGTACAAATGTTAAAAGTCAAGGTGAGCCCTGGGCTGGTGTAGCTCAGTGGATTAAGCACAGGTCTGCGAACCAGAGAATCGCAGTTCAATTCCCAGTCAGGGCACATTCCTGGGTTGCAGGCTGGTCTCCTGCAGGCCAGTTCCCAGCAGGGGATGCATGAAAGGCAACCATACATTGATGTTTCTCTCCTTCTCTCCTTCCCCTCTAAAGATAAATAAAATCTTAAAAAAAAAAAAGTCAAGGTGGTATATGTTTACTCCAAACTCTATTCTGAGAGAAGCAGGTACTGTAGTTGGTGTCCTGTGTGTGGTGAGCGTGTAT